GGAACGTGGTGGGGTGACATCCTCAGTGCGCTAGGGTCTTGTTAACAAGCAGATTAACAAAGAAGCTGTTCAAGTCTGTGGCTCAAAGGGTGGCACTTAGCAGCAGGGGACACCCAAGGAATTTTAGCCCACTGATTTCACAGATCAGTATCTGTTCAGGTAGTTAAAGAGTCTCATAAGGATCCCACACTATTATGGCAGTTTTCACACGGCAGCCAGAGTGGAAATTTATTGGGAAGTATTGACAATCAGTGGATATATATGATCTTAGACTTCACACTCATGAGAACACTGACAGATGTTTGAAAGATTTATGTGTGCGGGTACTTTGCCTGCGTACACATATATGTGCACCACTGGCATGCCTGGTGCCATGGATCCCCTAGAACTGGAGTTACAATTATGACCTACTACATGGGGTGCCGGGAATTGAACTCTGGGTCCTCTAGAGAAGCAGCCCATACTCTTAACTGATGAGCCACCTATCCAGTCACCCACAGTTGTTTTATATTTGCATAATTTGTTAAATTTGCATAACTTGATGTGATTTGAGTTGGTCCAAGATAATGATGACTACTGGAAACCACAGCAGAGCTGACACAGTTATAACCTTCTGAGGCTCCTGACTCCCTCCAGTCCTCCCTCCCTCCCTCCCCTTCCGAGTTGCCCTCCCAACTTTAAACTTTACAATCTCAAGGATTCACTTCCCCCTTTCCTGCTAGTTTGGTTTGCTTTCCTTTCCGGTGCCGGTTTCCTTAGGAACTAGGTGCCCCTCCCAGGCTTCTCTCTCTTTCCTGGTCGTAATTTTCAATACCATTCTTCTTAGAAGGCCAGAAACACCCTGTGGCATCTTTTCTCATACCCTACCATCCTCAGTGTCAAGGGTAAAGTCTCCTGCCTGGCAGGTACAGTTCTTGGCAGTCTGATCAGGTACCATTCTTTGGGAGAATCTGTTTTCTAGGAATACCGTCTTCTGCACCGCTGCCTCTGGAACTTTCTTTCCTGTTGCTGACATAGAAAAAAAAATGCTCTAGAGCAGCAGTTCCCTCAACCTGTGGGTCACGTCAGACACTTTGCATATCAGATGTTTATGTTACAATTCATAACAGTCGTAAAACGACAGTTATGAAGTATCAACAAAATAATTTTACGGTTAGGGGTCACCACGGCTTGAGAAACTGTTATTAAAGGGTTGCAGCATTAGGAAGGCTGAGAACCACTTCCCTAGAGAAACAAAGGCAGAGACTGAGTTGTACATCTAAAAGTCAGTCAGAACACAACCCCTTAGCTGTCCCAAGTAGAATAGAAAGGAAAGTGATGGCCAATGAGCAAACTTAGCAGAGAGAAAACAAAAATAAAGAGCTGCCATCTGGGTTGACTGATACCTTCAAGTCCTGAATGTCTTCAGTGACTCCTGTGCTGACAGAGGGGCACAGGTCCTCACTGTAACACAGTTTGTACTTTCAAGATTCCCCTAATTTACAAAATACTGAAAGCGACAGATTTTTAAAGATTTCAAAATCGTTGGTCATGGACTAAAGGGTAAGGCTACTTACTAATGGACAACCATAGTGGAAATCAAAACATGACCACACCCAGCTTGGGGATGGTGGCACACGCCTCTGATCCCAATCCCAACCCTCAGGATTGCAAAGGCAGGTAGATCTCTGTGAGTTTAAGTTCAGGTCAATTTAGTCTACAGGGTGAGTTCCAGGACAGCTCCAGCTACCTAGCAAGACTTTGTTTTGAAAACAACAGAAAACAAACAAAAACCATGACAACCAGGAGAAAAGCACCTGCAGGAAACTTGAACTAGCACATGAAAGGTCAAAAGACTAGACTCTGGGCTTCTGCTCCTACACTGGGGTGACCCCAGCCTATCCTCATTCCAGGAGAACAGCGGGTTTCTAGGTCATCCAGCTGGATTCTATCTGCTGTTTCTGGAATTCTGAAACGTGGGCACTTTTCCCTATGCTCAAAAGTCGCCAGCCACAGGCTCAGTCCAATGAATTACACACAGGCTGCCATGAAAGAAACAAGGGGCATACACAGTAGAATTTGTAACCATTCCTCTCACATTGGCTGTATCTGCTTAAAATCTGGGCTCCTAATGGGTTATCACTTACCTTCTTAATTTTGTTTTTTAAAATTTTAGGTAGTTGGGTGTTTTGCCCGTGTGTATGTATGTCTGTACATCATGTGTCTCTGCCTGGTTCCCAGATGCTCTCTTGACAATTATATGATGATGGAGATGTCATACAGCTGCGGGCTGGTGTGTGTGTGTGGTTCTTTTTAAATGGTGAAGGCGCTAGCTAGATTTCAAGAAAGAGGGATGAGAAAAGACAAAGGAAGGAGGCATGGAAGTGTTAACACTTCCTGAGGCTCAGGCTGGATGGATCACTCCCGAGATAATCCCTGAAAAAGTATACCAACTCTGCCAACTTCCAGCTTTCTTCTCACCCAGATGGGTCTGGTTCTAAGGCCCCTTAACTCCATGACACTGGGCAACTGGCCCTAAGGCTCAGTATGTGTTGAGTGAGACATCTCCCAGGTTACATTGCTTCATAGTGCATTTAAATGATGTATTGCTAACGGTAGCAGGTATGGTGTCCACACCACCTGTAAAAGTGGAAGCTAACATTCGGATGAAAGTGACTCTTTTGTTTTCCTAGAATTGTGGTACCGTTTATGTTGTCAAAAAAGAAGTCTCGGGCTGGAGAGATGGCTCAGCGGTTAAGAGCACTGACTGCTCTTCCAGAGGTCCTGAGTTCAATTCCCAGCAAACACATGGTGGCTCACAACCATCTGATGTCCTCTTCTGGTGTGTCTGAAGTCAGGGACAGTGTACTCATATACATAAAATAAATAAATCTTAAAAAAAAAAAAAAGGAAGAAGTCTCCAGAGTAGTTTATTGAAAGGCTGGAATGAACCAGTGAGAGTTTGTAGTTTAAAATGAGGTCACTGTATCCAAGTGACTAGTTGTGGAGGATGGTGGCATGTCACATGATTCACCTCCGTCAGGATAGTGACGCACTCCACATTGTCAGAGAGTACAGCTGTAAAAAGGAATTCAGATCTTTGTTTTAGGGAAGAAACATGGTCTGTCATAATTTGCAGAGCTCTTGTTTTGTTTTAGTTTTGAAAATAGAGTAACACTTAATCTTTAGATTCTTTTTTAATATTTATATTCGGTTATTTTCCTCCCACCCCAGCCCCAGCCAGGTTTGGCAACAGACAAATGTTCCTATTTCAAAATTCAGGTTAAATTGCATTGAAAGTACCAGTTTTCCTGGTGGGAGCCCATGAGTTACTAATTAAAGTCTTAATCCCTCGCCCTTTTCCTTTGACACATGGGGGCAGATCTTTCAGGGAAAAAGGGAAAAAGACCCAAGCTGTCTTCTGACTTTCATTAACACATCCCCTTTTATTGAGGGGGTGGAGAAATGCACCTCTGTTTAGAGTCTTCCCTAAGACGGGAATTGTCTGCACCTGTGTGCCATGACTGGGTCAGAAGGTGACAGCCTTGCCGCCATGGGGTCGGAAATGAGGCTGCCTTCCCTTCTGCTGGGGGGGGGGGGGGGATGAAAGCCCAGTTTACTGGCTGAGGCGGTATCTTGCTGAGTCACCGTTTCTCCTGCAGGAATGACTCCAGCCAGGAGGCAGGTGCTCTCTTAGCTCTGACCCTTTGTGAGCTGTTCTAAAGTGTGAAGTTTAAAATGTCCTTGGCTATTTTGCTAGCCGTGACTCCTTCCGGCCCCACCACTAAGTATTGAGTGTTGCACTGAGAGAATTGCTGAAACATCATTTTACCTGGGGCTGGGATTGGTTAGGCTTTCAAGTCAGAGGCTTTAACTCTTGTACAAGAGTCATTTGCCATCCTTGAGCCCTCTCTCTGTAAAGTGAATAGATCCGACTAATCACAATTTTTTAAAAAATTATTAATTTTTACCTTACATGCATTGGTGTTTTGAGGTGCCAGATCTCTGGAACGTGATCTCTATAAATGTGGGATGCCATGTGGGTGCTTCTACAAGAGCAGCCAGCTCTCTGGCCCCCAGCACACTCCTTCATATCAAAATAGATCAAGAGCAAAACATTTAAAGGAAACTGGAGTCTTGAAGGTTCTTGTTTTCGTTCCTAGTGCCTCATGTTTGAGGGATGATTTTTTTAAGAACTAGAAGACAAAGGGATAACAAGCTAACAAAGCTGACATCTCAGCCTCAGGACCACTCCTTGACACCTTTAGTGCCCTTTCTCTGAGACAGCTTTCTTATTTAGAGATTTAACACCTTACTTTGACCAGTAGTGGGCTGGTTCCATTTCACACTCAATAAGCACTCCTAAATGTTGCTTGATAATGAGATTAAACTATCAAGTCACCAAGCTGGACCAGTGGGGACCTGGCACTGTATCCTGTATTCCTTTACTGTTTGTTGAGGGGATTCACTGACTGACTGCTTGGCCTGTGCGTAAAGTTTGATGTAAGGGATTAGAAGTTTAAACTGTGTGGTTTGCTTCAGGGATATGCTCTCAGCTGTCTGTGCTGCCCCAATTGGAAAACTTGTTTAGGAAATGTGGGGAACTTTCTCAGGGTCTCTGCAGCCAGCTTTCTGGGTGAGGCGGAGAGCCCAGTTCCCAGCCCTTCTGTCTAAACTCTTACTCCTCAGAGGATCTCATGTGTAGGTAACTTAGTCAAGCAGAACCATTTCCTTCCCAAGTAAACCATGAGCAAGAGGCATCTTTTAAAGGCAACTGAGAACACTAAGCTTGGTAGCCTGTTTTTTTGTTTTGTTTGTTTTTTGTTTTTTTGTACTAAGCTGGTTAAGGGGGTCACTTCCTGACTGTTTGGCACTGGGGCTTGAAGTTAGCGAATCCAGGCATTTGCTGACTTTCTCTGAGCCCATCAGTATGTAAACCTTATTAACTAGAAGCTCTTGGTAGAGAAGCATTTTTTTTTAACACTTTGTATCTTCTGTGTCACCCACAGCAACCGTCTTTGGATGTCCTGTGACTGAGAAGCCAGGGTTTTCATTATTATGCCTTTGGAGATGGAGCCCAAAATGAGCAAACTGGCCTTCGGGTGCCAGAGAAGCTCCACGTCAGACGATGATTCCGGTTGTGCCCTCGAAGAGTATGCCTGGGTCCCACCCGGCCTCAGGCCCGAGCAGGTAGGAAGCAAGCTGTCTCTTTTGATTTGCTTTCCAGGGTAGTGTGGACCTCTCTTCTCTCTGGATGGCTTTGCTTTCTAAGGTCTGGTTTGGTTTCAGTAGAAGCTTCCTGTCTTCCTGCTTCTGCTGTGGTGACTAATGCAAACGCAGGGCACCACAGGTGTTCCTGATAGGACTTTCACAAGTCATTCTTTAGGGAAGAGATCCTGATTTGTATTTTTTTTTTTTTTTTTAGTGGTAGGGGGTGGGGAGGGGTATTTATCTTTCAAAATGGGGCCTCACTGTGTAGTCCTGGCTTGCCTCCAGCTCACAGAACTCAAGAGATCCACCTTCCTCCACCTCCCAAGTGCTGAAATTAAAGGTGTGTGCCACTATTACATGTTTCAAAGCTTCAATAAGAAAGGGAAATAAAAGACCACCTCCAGGCAAGTTCTCCACAATGTTCCTCTGAGGAAGAGGGGTGTGGCCAATAAATGTGGCCTTTGATAAGTCCTTTTCCCCGTTTTAAAGATGAGAATGATCTATTTTTATTTCCCCAATATCCTTATGATGAGGTTATTAAAAACTATTGGTAGATCTTGTACAGGCCAAATTATCCTTCAAAAATAGAAGATGCAACCATTTCCATGCCTGATTTTGAGTTACCGTTTTTGGGAGGTGGAAAGGAACTCCTTTTGAGATAGGGCTGGAGAGATGGCTCAGCAGTTGAGAGCACTGAATGCTCTTCCAGAGGTCCCAAGTTCAAGTCCCAGCAACCACATGGTGGCTCAGAACCATTTGTAATGGGATCTGATGTCCTCTTCTGGTATGTCTGAAGACAGCAACAGTGTACTGTGTGTGTGTATAAAGAGAGAGAGATAGAGAGAGAGAGAGAGAGAGAGAGAGAGAGAGAGGATATCCTTATACATTCAAGACCCAGTGTATAAGTGGCTAAGTAACAGTAAAGTAACAGACAAGCTTCTTGGACAATCCAGGAAGGGAAGGTATGCTAGTGTAACAGTTAGGGAAGTGGAGTTTGACAAACTGTTTTGTGGAGAGGACCCCTTACATCTTTGGATGGTATGTGTTTATAGACTTGCTGCTTGCAGACAAGTCCCAGGTCCCTAATCTTTCTTTACTTGAATTAATGCCTTTGGTTCCATCTCAGCAATGCAGGGTCCTGCTGTTTTCACCAAGGGAACAAAGTAGCTAAGATCAGCTCAGCATCCCCCTCCTCCTGCTTCCTTGGGGAAGGTGAAGCTGGATACTGTAGATACCGGAGATGCTGGAGAGAACCGTATAGAAGTCAGAGAGAAAATTGAGTCTGTTTGTGTAGAGGGGCCAGGTGTTGGATCTTGTCACACAGCCTGTGTGGTCATTCAGAGAATTCACCCAGCACTATCCCTTGATCCCTCAGCTGACCTTTGCAAGATTGGAGAAGAGTCACCCATAAATGTGCACATTTGATTGCGCATAATTTATGGCACCCTTAATTGTCACTACAAATTGCATTCCTGAGGAGCAATTTAGCAGCTGGATGCTAGTGCATGCTAGCAGATGCAGGTTTGCACCGCTGCTGAGTTGGCTCAGCTGGTCCCCTCATTAGCTGCAGGAGGCCAAGCCCTGTAAGGAGGGAAGGGTAAAGACAGGCGGCTCAGCCCTTCCTCCTGTGTTCTCATGATGGCTTCTGCTTCCACAGATCCAGCTTTACTTCGCATGCTTGCCAGAGGAAAAGGTTCCTTATGTTAACAGCCCTGGAGAGAAGCACCGGATTAAACAGCTTCTGTACCAGTTGCCTCCACACGATAACGAGGTAAAGTCACAGGAAGAATGCTAATTAGTAAAAAATAATAATAAATAAATAAACAGTAAACATCAAGGGGCCTTTCTGAAATGCCAGCTCTCCACTGGCTAGGCCTCTCTTAAAATGCACCCTAAAAATACAGCTTTTCTTTCTTTCATTTTATCTTTTTTTAAAGAGAAGAGAGAAAAGAGCACCATAGTACCACACAAGTTGTTTCTGATAATGTTTTCAGCCACCCACCAATTATCAGGAGCTTTCCTTCCATGTGCAGGGTAGGCACCTCAGGGTATTTCAGCATTGAAGACCTGAGTGCCTGTAGAATGTGGACTGAGAACAGTCAGTTTCAGTCTTCTGAGGAAGGTGGTATCTTCCTACAATCAGTTGACATTTAAAAAAGAATAAACCACACCTATCCTGTCAGATAGTGTGCCCCCTTTCTAAAGACTGAGGTGCATTTTACTTTTTTGGTTTTTGAGACAGGGTCTACAGATCTGGATCTGTAGACCAGGCTGGCTTCGAACTCCTAAAGATCTACAGGTGTCTAGGTCACGGGTACTGGGATGTGTGTCACGACTTCCAGCCATGCCATGTTATAAATGAGGGTTGGAGGCAGAGCAGCTAGGCTTCCTGTTTGACTTCTTGGTAATGAAGACCTGTAAGGACAGCCTTCCGTCACACACGTCCGTTCTGTCTCCTGTGAAGGTACGGTACTGCCAGTCTTTAAGCGAAGAAGAGAAAAAGGAGCTGCAAGTGTTCAGTGCTCAGAGGAAGAAAGAGGCTCTTGGAAGAGGAACCATTAAACTCTTGTCCAGAGCAGTGATGCATGCAGTGTGTGAACAGGTAGGCCCTTTCTAGAGTGAGGGTTGGTGGGAGTGGTGGTGGTGGGGGGTGACCCAGAGAGGTGTGCATCCATGCCAGCCATGGACGCACACCCTAAAAACTTCTGTCTGTGAGTGACCACAGGAGTCAGTCTTTTTGAATGAAACTGTGTCTTGCAGGGGAGAAACCCTGTAGTTAAAACATGATATAATGAAGACATTTTGACCCCCTACTAATGGTTCTCAGTAAGAACCGCACCCCACAGGAAAGCCTCTATGAATAGAAATCAGCTCACACACACTGGACAGAGCTGGAAAGAGTGGCTGAGTAAGGTGTATCGAAGGTGGGATAGCCATTTAATCACCAGCAGGAGTAGACAGAAATTAAAGCTGTCCTAACGAACCCGCGGTTTATTTTCAAGTGGGACAAGCTGAAAATCCAGTAATTTAGGTGAAGGACCATTTTTAACTTCAAGTCTTTGTTTTTAGTGCGGGTTGCAGATGAACGGAGGGGAGGTCGCAGTGTTTGCCTCCCGTGCGGGTCCTGGAGTATGCTGGCATCCGTCCTGCTTTGTCTGCTTCACATGTAATGAACTACTGGTCGACCTCATCTATTTCTATCAGGATGGAAAAATCCACTGTGGCAGGCACCACGCCGAACTGCTCAAACCTCGGTGCTCAGCCTGTGATGAGGTAAAAAAAAAAAAAAGACTGGTCACCCCTTAATGATGGAAAAATAAGCCAATGGCCAATATTCCACACTGTTCCCAACAAAGAAAAATATGTGGCTCTCCTGCTTCTGTTCTGTATGGATATTTTTAAGATAAAGCTGCCCATTCTCACTGGAATTCTATGTAGCTAAAAAAGAGGGCAGCAGGTGCTTTTGCTTGCCCGTGATGCTGTCTCTGAAATGCAAGGGGGGAAAAAAAAACTTTGGACGAGAATATGCAGAATATGATCTTTTGTTTCACAAACACAGGAAGGAAAAATTTCAATGTAGTAGATATGTTGCATACAGTCAGCAAAGATATGGATAGATAGACTGGCTCAGTAGAGAGCAAGACAGATGACTGTGTAAAAGGCATTTCTTCCTTTTACTTTATTATTATTAAGTTTTTGGTATTTTTGAAATGGTCCTGTGAGGCTAAGCAGGTTTCAAACTTAAATTCCCTATCCTCCTGCCTCTACCTTCCTAGAATTGGGATAATAGATACAAACCATGATGTCTACCAAGCTTCTTATTTTAAAGTAACTTTAAGTTAGGGAAAAGTTGACAAGATACTGTAGAGAGCTCCTGGTGATAGCATCTTCCATCACCTTGGGGTGTGTCTTAGGGTTTTACTGCTGTGAACAGATACCATGACCAAGGCAACTCTTATAAGGACAGCATTTAACTGGGGCTGACTCACAAGTTCAGTCCATTATCATCAAGATGGGAGCATGGCAGCATCCAGGCAGGCATGGTACAGAAAGAGCTGAGAGTTCTACATCTTCATCTGAAGGCTGCTAGCAGAATACTGACTTCCAGGCAGCTAGGATGAGGCTCTGAAAGCCCACACCCACAGTGATACACCTACTCCAACAAGCCCACACCTCCTGTGCAACTCCCTGGGCCAAACATATACAAACCATCACAAGGTGGATAGAAAAAGCAAGAACTACCATTCGTGTAAGAGCAGGACTTATACCAATGGGCTCTATTTAGATTTCCTTTTCCGTGTTTGGAGGCATCGGTGCGTTTATTTAGTCATGATGCTCAGAGGGAATGTGATCCAACAAGGGTTAAAGATGAAGTAAGGCTTAAAATTAAGTTTAGAAGTTAAGGATATATGAGCCTTAAAAGAGGTGGGAGCCTCCTGTAGCCCAGGTTAGATGCAGGAGTCTCCTGTAGCCCAGGTTGGATGCAGGAGTCTCCTGTAGCCCATGTTGGCTTCAGACTCATGTAGGGAATGACCTTGACCCTCTAATCCTCCTGCTTTAACTTCCCAGGTCATCTTCTGGGTCCTTCTAGTATCCCAAGATGCAGTCCAGGGTTCCTCGCTGTATCTTCTCCATCTTCTTCAGCCTGGGACAGAAAGCTTATACGCCCACACAGATATTTCTTCAATGCAATCTAAGAATTTTAAAGTCCTTAGTGTGCAGGTGGACCCATGGTGTCAGATGAAGCATTTCCTGCACAACTGTTCACACAATCACAGAACCACTGTAGCTCTGTGCACAGCCCACAGGCCTTTACTTCAATTAAAACATACAGAAACCAAAAGGTACATGACGGCTAGCGTGTGCCTTGCCAGATGCTGCTGCCAAAATCTTCCTCAGGAACAGTGTGACAAATGAATTCTTCCTCCATGAAGAAATGTTCTTTCTTCATGTTTAAGCAAACATTTATGTAGTTTACCTTTCCAACACTGTTGGTTTATATTCATGTAGATAAGTCTTGGTCAGTGAAATGAAAACACGGAATGAAGCCAATACTAATCTGTAGCTATCTATAAGAGACACACATACACATTTCATAGCAGAGGTGACTGTTTCTCACATGACGAACACCAGGAGTAAAACACAATATAACTAAGTCAGTGGGTCAGACCGTTTATGATTACAAAGTTATATGCTCTCCACATGGTGGTCGTGCACACTTTCAATTCCAGCACTCAGAAGGCAGAGGCAGATGGATCTCAGAATTCCAGGCCAGCCTGGTCTACAAAGAGAGTTCCAGGACAGCCAGGGCTATATAGCGAAGCCCTGTCTTGAAAAAAAAAATAATAAAGCAATAAGTTCTTCAGACCAGCACAAACCAAACAAGTAGAAAAGTAGGGTTAACAAGGGAAGGGTTGAAAATTAGAGCAATGATAGAACATACTAGAACAAGCTAACCTTCTAAATCAAAGACCCCTGTCAACATGAAGCTGTCCTTCACTCTTTACACTTTTCCTTATAAAAGTTCAGAGCTTGCAGTTGAAGGCTTTGAATGCAAACACGCACAGCTTGGAGTTGGACTTCCCTTGCCCAGACCTTACTTTCTTTCCGTTGACACTGCTGATGTATAGGCGTTCACACCAGCCTCTCTCATTCTGCACACCGTCACCCAACTCTGTCCTCAACCAGTCTCTTGTTTCTAAGTCCTGGGAGCAAGAGCTTTTCCATGCCTGTCTGGGTCCATGTCAGGGTGCCCTGTCAATGTGTCAGCCTCCTGTTCCGTCAGGGCTCACCCCACCCCATGTACCATTTCCTCTGTCTTCTCCTCTCCTCACTCTTGGGTCTCGTCCAGCCAGCCATATTTGTTCAGCACATACCCCAAAGAAGCCAGTGCCATGTAGTTGGGCAGAGATGTGGTGTGTGCTTTGTTCCACTACCAGGACACAGCCATTTTATAGCAAGATACACACACACACACACACACACACACACACACACACACTCACTCTCTCTCCTCACCTCCTCCTTTCCTGGATGACTTAAGAGGATTACAGCCACCACAAAGGCTACCTCCATCAAGAATGTCACCACCAAGTGAATACCTGAGACAGCACCTGCTCCAGGGCCTTTGTGCTCAGATCTGAGAGCCAGTGCCAGCTGTGCAGGGTGGAGCTTTGTCACTGAGATGGTACATGCTGATCCTCCATCCCGTGGTCCTGTGTTTCTTTCCAAAGATCATTTTTGCTGATGAGTGCACAGAAGCCGAGGGTCGACACTGGCACATGAAGCATTTCTGCTGCCTTGAGTGTGAAACTGTCCTGGGAGGGCAGAGATACATCATGAAGGACGGCCGCCCCTTCTGCTGTGGCTGCTTCGAGTCCCTCTATGCCGAGTACTGCGAAACCTGTGGGGAGCATATTGGTAAGTGTTGCTCCCACCCACGCCGTCTGCCCCGTCACACAGCCATCTGTGATTACCCACACGGCCTTGTATCTTTAACGTTTGTGAAAATTAAGGTATAACTCACACATACTGGAATACATGGCCCTTCAGTGATTGTCAGGTGAATACTGGATTCTGATTATTCAGAGCAGCAATCACAGAATCAGTGAATGCCAAGCGAACTGTGATTCTGGGGAAGCTCACAGATAAAGTTCCCATGAGCCTCTGGGGAGTTTCCTTTTTCTTTTGGGTGGGGTAGGGTGTTGTTGGGGGGAGGGAGGTGCTGGGGCTGAAGCCCAGGGAACTGCATGTATTAGAAAGGCCCTGGTCACACCATTTTTATCAGTCTTGTGTGTTTGAAACATTTCATTGAAAACGTTACTGGCAAGTCAATGCTGAGCTCTTAGCAACAGCAGGTGGCTCATGGTTAGAATTTATGTAATGCTTGTATTTGCATGTGTGTAGAATCACTAGACAGCACTTCAACATTATGCTCCAAGCCTTTCAATAGCAAAAGTATTGACAAAAAAGGCACAGAAGTCCTCGCACTGAACACATCCATGCAGGATACCTGATTCCTGTATGTGTGGTAAGACCAAACGGTGCCTCAGTGAGGAACATATTGGTCAATTTAAATCTTCATCGCTCTGCGTATCTGTTGATGGCCGTGTTATGACTATCCATTTGGGGATTAGAAAGTTTTTTGAAGAGATACATTGAAAAACGTATTATCTGCAAGATAAGGAAGGTTAACTGAGCATATGTAATTCATACCTGACCAAGGCAGCACAGACCCAGATGTGTGGGGTACACCTGCAGCTCCAGTACTCAGAGTCAACCCTGGGTTCATGGATGTCTGGGACCACACAGCGAGACCTTGCCTTAAAACAAAGCCTGGAATGTTCCCATTACCCACAATTCCCTCCTGGTCATACCTTTGCACAGACCATAACTGTTTTCCTATCCTTTAAAAACAGGTGTGGACCATGCACAGATGACTTATGACGGGCAACACTGGCATGCCACCGAGGCCTGCTTTTCCTGTGCGCAGTGTAAGGCCTCTTTGCTGGGATGCCCCTTCCTCCCAAAACAAGGTCAAATTTACTGCTCCAAGACCTGCAGCCTAGGGGAAGACATCCACGCCTCTGACTCCTCTGACTCTGCCTTCCAGTCGGCCCGATCGAGAGACTCTCGGAGAAGCGTGAGGATGGGCAGAAGCAGCCGCTCCGCAGACCAGTGCAGACAGTCTCTTCTCCTGTCCCCCGCCCTGAACTACAAGTTCCCAGGTCTTTCTGGCAACGCTGATGACACCCTTTCTCGGAAGCTGGATGATGTGAGTCTTTCCAGGCAGGGAGCAGGTTTTGCTAACGAGGAATTCTGGAAAGCCAGAGTAGATCAGGAAGCCTCCGAGGACCCCGAAGAATGGGCTGAGCATGAAGATTACATGACACAGCTTCTCCTCAAGTTCGGCGATAAGAATCTCTTCCAGCAGCAGCCCAGTGAGATGGATATGAGAACCAGCGAGCACTGGATACCTGACAACATGGTTACAAATAAGCCTGAGGTAAAGCCGAATCACCAGAGCCTCGCAAGTAAAAAGTATCAGTCTGATATGTATTGGGCCCAGTCCCAAGACGGGCTGGGTGACTCTGCCTACGGCAGCCATCCAGGCCCTGCCAGCAGCCGAAGGCTACAAGAGTTAGATCTGGACCATGGTGCTGTAGGGTATAATCACGACCAAACCCAGTGGTATGAAGACTCCCTGGAGTGTCTATCTGACTTGAAACCAGAGCAGAGTGTCCGGGATTCGATGGATTCTTTGGCATTGTCCAACATCACTGGTATGTCATCCAAGGGTTGTGGTGTGTTTGTAAAAACGGGCACTAAAAGGTTGATACACTAGTTACAACTGAGTGCCAGTAGGGGGCATATTATTTAAGACTCTGGACTAATGCAGGTGGTTTCATTTGCATGCCACAAGATAGTAAAACAGATGCGTCTTGTATTTCATTACATATGTATAAACATTCTGAACATAGCCTGAAAACCGATTTGGATAAGGGAATCTATGTCTGGATTATTGGTAAGATATTCTGTATTTAGATGATACCAAATGCATTTTAAGATATGAAAAGTAGGTTGAGTGTGTTATAAGATTTTTTTAACTCTTAAAAGTAAAAATTTCTGGATTTCCCTTTGGCAAAAGAGAACCAAAAAAAAAAAAAAAACAACTTATTTTTCCCCACATTATAGTTTGTGCTTTAAGCTGGACAGTAGTGGTACATGCCTTTAATCCCAGCACTTGGGAGGCAGAGGTAGGCAGATCTCTGCAAATCCAAGACCAGCATGGTCTACAGAGTGAATTTCAAGACAGACAGGGCTACACAGTGAAACCCTGTCTTGAAAAAAAACAGATAGATAAGCCGGGCAGTGGTGGCACACGCCTTTAATCTCAGCACTTGGGAGGCATAGGCAGGTGGATTTCTGAGTTTGAGGCCAGCCTGATCTACAGAGTGAGTTCCAGGACAGCCCGGGCTACACAGAGAAACCCTGTCTCAAAAAAACAAAAACAACAACAACAACAACAAAAAAAAAACAGATAGATAGGTAGGTAGGTAGACAAACAGAGACAGACAGACAGGGACAGTAGTACCAGCTTGTTATATTCCTATAATACAACCAGGAAAGAGCCATGTGCTGTCTGCTGCCAGAGTAGTTTGTGCAGAAAGAAGAGACACTGCTCCATCCTAGCTCCTGGCCTGTGAGACATGAATCTTACTGTAGAGGGGAGTCTAGGAAGCAGGGTGGGTGAGACTGCCTGCCAGGCCCCACATGTGAAACGCAGGTGACATTCAGAAGTACAGCAGGCCCTTTGCGTGTATACGGCCCTTCATTTAACCCCCAGTGCTGAAAGCTAAAAACTGAGGACGTTAGAGGCTGATGGTCCTTGGGAATAAGGGACTGAGAAACCGGCTGTCTTTAAAAAGCAGGGAGTTACAGCCTTTCCAGTAGCCCTCTGTCCTGGCTCCATAGTTATTTGAGTAACTGGGGTCCTCGATTTTGGTTTAGAAGTAAGAGCAGTCTGGAAGTAGTGTATTTTAAAGACTGAAGTAGGATAATTGACATGATGCAGGCCTGAGGCTGGCAAGCCTTCTCCTCTCAAGGGCTTCATTGCACTTTTTTGGCCAGGCCATATCATTTCAGTTCAAGCTACTCAGTTCTGCCACTGGGGGAAGCAGCCCCAGACAGCATCTGGGCAGATGTGTTCTGGTGTGACTACATAGAGCAGGCTGCTGACCTCAGTCTAAGCTGAAGAAGACCACCCACCCTGAAGGGGTTCTGTTAACAAATAGATGGACAGCTTCTGTTGTGAATAGGTGCTCCTTCCTGCTGCTTATGGCTTGTGCTAGAACAGTCCTTCAGTTCCCTGGTAGCTTTAACAAGATTCCTATTTCTCGGTTGGTAAACAATACACAGTGCCTTAATCAAATGATTAAGTAGGCACCTTTCCTTCCTTGAAATGCTTCTGGATTACATTTAACAGCTCTGAGAATGTTAGGACTTGTGAGAATCTCACATTGCCTTTTGGGTTCTGTTGCAGGGGCATCAGTGGATGGAGAAAGCAAGCCAAGACCGTCATTATACTCTCTCCAAAACTTTGAGGAGATAGAGGCGGAGGATTGTGAGAAAATGAGCAATATGGGAACTCTGAATTCTTCCATGCTGCACAGGAGTGCAGAGTCCTTAAAAAGTCTGAATTCAGAGCTGTGCCCAGAAAAAATTATACCCGAGGAAAAACCAGTACACCTGCCGGTACTCAGAAGATCCAAGTCTCAGTCCCGACCACAGCAGGTCAAGTTTTCAGATGACGTCATTGACAACGGAAGCTATGACATTGAAATCCGGCAGCCTCCAATGAGCGAACGGACTCGAAGACGAGTGTATCACTTTGAAGAGAGGGGATCCAGGCCTCACCACCATCGCCACCGGAGAAGTAGAAAGTCACGGTCCGACAATGCCCTGAACCTGGTCACAGAAAGGAAGTACTCCGCCAAGGACAGACTTCGGCTCTACACCCCTGATAACTATGAGAAATTCATACAGAATAAAGGCGCCCGGGAGCTCCAAGCATACATGCAGAATGCCAACCTCTACGGCCAGTATGCTCACGCCACGTCTGATTATGCCCTGCAGAACCCAGGAATGAACCGGTTTCTGGGGCTCTACGGGGACGACGATGATTCCTGGTGTTCATCCTCTACTTCTTCCTCCGACTCGGAAGAAGAAGGGTATTTCCTTGGACAGCCTATCCCTCAGCCTCGGCCACAGAGATTCACTTACTATACGGATGACCTTTCTAGTCCAGCGTCTGCACTGCCCACCCCACAGTTTAATCAGAGGACAACTAAATCCAAGAAGAAAAAGGGACACAAGGGCAAAAACTGTATCATTTCTTAACCAAGTAGACATGGAGATTCTTCGTTTAAAACTTAGTCATTTAGCCTGGACTTTGACCTTTTATTCATCCTAGGAAAGTCGCTAAAATAGTATAAAGTGCTTTCTTTGGCCCATGTAAATGAGAGCCCCACTGTGTTTACAGTCAGGTTAACACACAAAAGGGGTGGTTTCTCCAGTCTCGGTGCCACAGTAACAGTCTTGTGCCCGAGAACACTCCAGAAACTGCTGGCAGGTGATTGGACAGAGCGCGTTAGAAGATGGATAGCCACCTTTGTAAGCAATAGTGCTTGTCGTTAATTCAGTCAGGTTGGCTCAGGTCCTGACTGGTGTCTTGTGAGGCATGCATGTCACCATGACGACCTAGCTAACACTGTGTGCTCCATTGTTGTAAGGCGAACCTGTTCTCCTTCAGCCCTTATTAGCCAGGTAAACATATTGTATTACTCCCAGCTACAGATCGAAAGGACTTGCTATTTATATGTAGTATTTCATAGACCTAAGTGTATTCCTAATTTAACGGTGCAAATATTAATGTATATACTGTACAGTTCAGATTTTAAAGCTGATATTTTTATATCCCTGAATTGCAAGATGTTTGTTACACTGCCGTGCTAGATTTGTTTAGGAAATCAGAAACAGCATCTAGGGATGAAATGACTGCCTGTATTTTAGTCAGGGCTTATAAGTTTAGACAGTCAATTTATATTGCTTATTGATGGAAAGTTGGTTTTTTTTCCCCCTTCAATATTAAAAAAGGCTCTGTATGCATGGTGGGGCTATGTACATACTTGGTACCAGGCCCTGTTAATCTCACAAGTGTTATTTATGGGTCAAGCTTTGTAAACTGTATAAATGTAAAAAAAAAATAACAAAAAACAAAAAACAAAAAAACAAAAAAACAAAACAAAACAAACCCCACACATACCTCTGGAGTATATGGTGAAACCAAGGAGAAGCTATCTGGGCATTCTTCCCTGGGCAGGGGGGAGTGTCTCAGCAGGTGATAACGCCCACACTAAGAGCTTTCTGTGGCCGTCTGTGTAGACTTACTATGTACAGAGAGGTTATTTCTTCTGCCCTTTTCCTTCCAACTTGTTGTTGGCCTTTAAAAGCAATTTTGAAAACTGGGTTCCCAGTTGCAGTTTTCTTTTAAGGTTTTTCAGGAAGAATGAACCACAGCACCCCCGAGTTCCTGAGGCTCTGGTTCAGTGGAGAGTCATGTTGGATTTGAACTAACGAGCGGGTAGTTTGGTCTGTGCTGTCCTTGCATTTACATCTTGATCCTAACTAAAGGTCCTGGTGTCATCCTGGGCCTTTCAGGGAGGTGTTTAATAAAGGCTTAATAAATGATAAACTACCTTTCCGAGTCTGAATCTTCCACTCTGTTCTGGTGCTCAGGCATGGTAAAGTCCGCAGTCTTCCTAAAAGACCTCTGTTGAACCCCAGACTTGAGGAACAGAAACTCTCTACTTAGGAAAACCAAAGAAAAGCTATCTAGCCTCAAAAGGGCCAGGCATGACTCCAGAAGGTAAACCTATGGACAAGCACCACCCAGTGTCCATCCCTGGAGAGAGCTAGGCCGGAAAGAGGCCCTTCAGAAAGGCTGCAATGGGGAGAGGGCCTTTTGCTCTGCAGCTGCACTGGCATTTCCAGGGTCCTGTACATTTCAAAAACGGGTCACTATGAAAGTGAAGAGTTAGCATGGCAGGAATCCTGCCAACAGAATCAAACACAAACACTGAAGCTTCCTGCCACTCCTCATCTCCATAAGTGACCAGTACTTATCCAGTTTCAGCACACTCTTCGAATGTTCCAAACACAGAGTATCTCTTAAGTCTCCTTGAGATGGGGGTGTAGCTCAGTGACAGTGTGGGCTCAGCGTGTACAAGGTCCTGAGATCAATCTCTAACAGAGAGGCAGTGAGCTCTATCCGGTGACTTGCTTTTCACTACCCCCACATGACTACAATTGGTTGTTTAACCTCACTGTGTAATAACTGTTCTGTTTGGGGGTACTCCACTATTCAAAAAGGCCTTTGGTGATATATCTGAATTTCCCCATATACATACAACAGTGGCATGTGTGTATACGCTGAGCAGAAAAATCACTGGGGAAAAAGTTACATATTGGCAGCTGATGAATGCCACCAGTTTTCCTTCAGAAGAGTCTCATGGTTCACCTGAGGAGAATGCACGTGGGCAGCTTTCTCAGAGGCAGCTGTAGCAGTCCTGATAAAGCACTAAACTTGCAGAAAAGGCCTGAACAGACCCAGTTAGAGTAAAGAGTATGCTGCTCAGTCACTGAATTCCAAAGTTTGATCCTAGATAAATAGCACTTGGGAGATGCATGCCTCTGATCGTACCATGGAGAGACAGATGCTGAAGACTATACAGTCTTCACCCGAGTCCTTATTCTGCTTACGGACAAGAACTGCATGTATATGTATCTGCTGTCTCCTGGTCCATGGTCTAATTCTGCAGTTAAAGTCAGGAGTAACAGAAGTAAAAGGAGATGCCACTTGCTGTCCCTCCCAGTAGATGGGAGCACATGACAAGAGCTGGAACGTGTACCCCGGACTGCCTGCTATAGCTCTGCTGTGTTATCAGGTCCAAACCAGTGTTTTCGGCTCCAAGGTGTTACAGGAAAGGCTACGAGCTGGCTTCTATGAGACTCCCCAGCTTCTAAACACTAACCGGAATGGTTCTGCAAAAAACTGTCCAGCCAGATGGATCTGCTGCCGGCCAGTTGCCATCTCCAGTCCTTAAGAGCTTTAGTAAGTTAGAGCTCTCTAAGGGAGGCCCAACACTAATAGCATTCATAGAAACATTTGCAGATGGACGAAAAAGGAAAGTTATCAGGAGTCTCCAAATCAGAATAAAAAAAGAAAGCACAGAAAAATACACATATACATACACACAACCAAAACACATAAAAGTACAAAACTAGAAGAGATAATATAAAAAACAAAATACCAAATAAGAGACACGAAAGAAACTAAATTTTCTCTCTGCAAGCGGATGTCAATTGGAGACAGCTTCTTGGTTTGGGATGGGGGCTTATGTGCACCCCCAGTCCCCATTGCTGGGACCCCTCTTGAATTGAACTTGTACAGACCCCCATGCATGAGGTCAATCTGAGTTCCTATGTGTGTCAGCCCTGCTATGTTTGGAAGGCACTGTGTCCCTGGTGCCTTCTTTCTTCACTGGCTCTTACAGTCTGTCTCCTCTTCCACAGAACTCACTGAGCCCTAAGGGATGAGGTGCCATGAAGACACCCCATAGAGGACTCTCTGCTCTAAAACTCTTTTGTTCTCTATGTGTTGTCCAGCTATGGGTCTCTGTGGTGGGATGAAGCATTCTTTGGGTATGTATATGCCTAAGAGTGGTACAGCTAGCTGCATTCTAAGACACATCTTTTCTCAGCTTCCTGAGGAACCATTACGCTGATTTTCCTAAGTTTGCACTCCCACTAGTAATGGATAAATGCTCTCCTTTCTCTATGTCCCCACCAGAATAAATTGTCACTTATCTTGTGCATCTGACCGGTGTGAGCTGAAATCTCAAAGTCGTCATGGTTTCTACTTCCCTGACAGCTAAGGGCATGGAACTTTTTAAAAGGGTTTTGCAGCTGCTGTTGTTTCATCTTTTTTGAGAACTCTCTGTTTGGATCGGTGCTTCATTTTTAAATTGGGTTGTTTTCTTGATGCCCATTCTTCTTAAGTTCTTTGTATATTAGAGATATCGGCCCTCTATCAGAAGTGTAACTGGTAAAAAAAATCTTTTCCCATTCTGAAGGCTGAATGATAGTGTCCTTTGCTGTTTTCAGTTTCATAAGCAATTTATTGATTGCTGGGAAGGGGCGTATCTTATGCTTCATTATATATTCAAGGTGGTGGTGTTCTACAAACTTTAGAATTTTAAAGGCCAACCTACTTTCTAGAATCATAACCCCCAACAACATACATGATATCTTTTTATCAAGATGAATATAGTTAGTTCCCTTATTGCTACAGTCTAGCACTCCTACCCAATGGGATGAGGGGACACCTAGAAGACGGTACACTCGGCACAGGCTGATCTCACAAGAATCAGGAGATCTGGGCTGGGAGACCTGCTTCACATCAGCCTCAGCTCTTTTCTGTAAGAATACCAGATCTCACAGGCTTCCCAGCAGCTTTAACTGCAAAGAGGGGTCCCCCATTTAGCATTCTGCTTTGCCTTGCAGATCTTTCAATTACCAACAGACCTCCCTGTCAGGACCAGTGGTCTTTTCTGAAGTAGCTCTCACAAGGAAGTCACATGAACCAAGTACACACAGATAGAGACAGAGACAGAGACAGAGAAATACACCAAAATATGATTTTTTTAAAAAAATGGCCTTACAACGTTACTAATTGTATATATGTGTATATATAATCCATCACACATAAACTGCCCATTAGCTACATATGCATGCCAACGAGCCACTATGTACACGTAGCAAGATTTGAACCAGTTGTAGATGACAACCAACTTTTTCTATTTTGTCTAACAATTCTGATCACAGACTGGAATGACACGGTTAGCCCTGGCTCTGACAGGTGCTAGCTGCAGCATCTTTGGGTATATTGTGACTTCTCTTGTCACTAACAGGAAAAACGACAATGAATTCCTCACTGGGTCTGGGTTTCACCCTCAGCACTGCAGGGAACAAAAAAGGCAAAGGATTACATGTGAAGAGTTTCACATGGAGAGAAATCACGTGTTAGCTGAGCCTTGATCACATATTGAAGTCGGGGTTAGCTGCTCCTTGGAGTTTGACAAACCTTCAACATAATAAACCTGGATACATTTGAAGCTATATTCAATATGATATAGTATATTCTATTCTATAAAAGTAGTGGAAAGGTCTTTTTTTTTTTCCTATTTAATGGAGAGAAAGCCCTTTAAAGTCTCAGACAATTGTAATAATAACAACCTAGAGTCAAACACCATCTTGTGTGGAAAAACCCAGAAGACAACATGCAGGTCCTGCTGGAACATGGTACATAGTCTGTCACTGTAGCATCTGTCATTGCCACATGTAGCTGAATGTGAAGTGATAATCTCAGAGCACTGGTGAAGCCTTTTATACCTTCAGTTCCTTCCCCTTAACCCAAGGTCAGTAAGGACACTGGCAATGTAGGACAGGTGTGATCTGCTCGGGCCACCATAAGTGAAGCTTTGGATGCCAGCTGACAAAGAACTTGAATGCAATAAAAAACTTCCATATCAAGTTGCCCCAAAGTCACATGCTTAAGGACATCTATTCTAACTTCACCCAGTGGCACAGCGCAGGGACTAAGGTTCCTTCTATCAGTGGCTTTGCAAAAAACGGGAAGGCTGCACACTGCTGGAGAATGGATAAAAAGGCAGAGACCCCCCCCCCAGTCCAGAACAGCACTTCCTCAGCAAAGAACTTAGTTCATCCACTTAATCACGAGCAGGGAGCAACTACAGTAGGAGTTATTAAGTACCCAGTCAGCCTTGGAAAGGTGGAGAGTATAAGCTTGTAACTTGCTTCACGCCTACCTGGAAGCTGCGCTTTCCTGCTTACTGAATAGGTCACCATAACATCAGCACTCTCAAGAGCTGGCAGACAGGGCACGAAAACCATGCAGCACCTGTAGTCTAAACCTTGGTCTGGCAAGCAGAACATGGCCTGTGCTCTCAAACAGCTCCAGCTCTGAAAACAACTGGATGAATGGCTGCCTATGGCACAGACTGCCACCCACCATGAATTCCCCCAAAGGAGCAGCCAAGGAACTGTCAGAGCCTACCTTGGAGGTTAGGATGATACAGCAAACCCTGGAGAGAAACTGACGTTGGTCTCAACTCTGGCAGAGTACAGCAGAGTTCTTCCTTAGGGGTATCTAGCTTTCAGCTCCATGAGGTTCAGGATCTGTGAATGGCTCTGGGCTAGGAAGCAGTTGACAGCTACGAGAAATCGATGAATTTTGGCAGTAACAGTATTCATGTAATTTCAAGTTCTGTCATAAGCAACAAGCTTGATGCAACATGCTCAACATTCTCCTCTAACCCACCTTTGCCTATAGAAAGGAGACAATATACTTACCCTTCAACTCCAATGACTATAGTTGGAGGGCTGGAGAGGTGGCTCAGTGGTTAAGAAAGAGTACTCAGTGCTCTATCAGAGGGCTAGAGTTTGGATCCCAAGACCTGTAGTGGACAGGTTAGGAGGAATACATGCTATTCTAGCTCTGGAGGATCTGACACACTTCTGGGACTCTGTGGGCAAACACAGGTACATACTCCTCCATCCGGAACATACGCACGCACACACACACACACACACACACACACACACACACACACATTTAGAAGAATAATCTATAGTTAGGACTGACTCCTCTAACAGAAGAGAGATCAAGAAGAAAACAATAAGCAAGTGTATTACCATTCACAGTGCTTTGCTCAGGAAGAATAACAATTCAAAGCAGCAGGGAATGGGTATTGATTGAGGAGCATTTCAACAAAGACACTGCAGAGTCAAGCTAAAGGAAAGCCATTCCAAACCTGAGAAGCGGAAAACGGTGAGAGTAACTTCAACGAGGAAAACACCACAAATCCGGAGCAAAGCTAATGTCTAGGGAGGTCACAGGCCCTAGTGGGAAACTCTCGTTGCTATTTTACTAAACGAAAATGCTCATCGATTTACCTCGTAAATCATATGGGACTGCCCGCAGATTGGCACCAGCGCCAGATTTGATCAGATGCTTCTTTCTGCGGGGGTCAGTGGTAAATGAATATACTCAGTCATGAGGTCACCCGAAGTCCACAGATTAGAGAAGAAGACGTAAGAACATGAGAGTCAAAGGATAGGGGGGCTGTTGTGACACCGTCTTCTAGGCATGCTACCCCCTCACGCAGCTCCGAATACCTGCAGAGACGCATATAGAGACGCAACAATCTGTCATGGAGTGCCGAGGGGCTCATGAGGGTCTCTCAAGATTAACAGGTAGTTTAGTGGTTGCAGGGGTTTTTTGTTGGTTGGTTGGTTGGTTGGTTGGTTGGTTTCGCTGGTATTGCCATTAATAAGGGGTCCATGCTCCTGTATATAACAAATTCTCATCTATACTTCTGTATAAAAGGGTAACCCCCACCCTTAAAAAAAAAAAACCCACAGGGAAGAACGAGGCAACCTGAGAAAGAGATCAGGACCACAGGGAGTAATGGGAGATGTATGAGATTAACATATGTATATGAAAAAAAATAAGGAAACTCTGTATTATAATTGCAAGCTAATTCGCATGAAGAAGGTCTGCTGTGGCGGACATCTCTGAGCTGACAAGCAAGCACTGAAGATAATGTATACCCAATTTTAGACAAGCAGAGCAGGAAAAAGGGTGAGAAGGGTGGGTTTTCTTGAAAGACCTTTTCTGTTCTTGGTTGGGGGATATCACTTTATTCAGAGGTTTCAGGTTCAAGGTCTCCCCATCACTAAGAGAGGCTTTCCCCTTCTGTCCCTTCCCTGTGCTTGTGCACACACGGGCCGAGCTCTGCATTCTGGGTCTTCAGCTTGAGTTCTTCAGTCTTGTTCCTTCACTCTTTCCATTGGACATAAAGTCATGATTATTACCATCAACTTTACTGGACTGAGAAGCACCTAGAAGATTATTAGAAAGGCATACTTCTGGATATCTGTGAAGCTCTTTCTCAAAAGGTGACATCAAGGGAGAAGACAGACCCTGAATGTGGTATTTGGAGGCTGAGAAGGAACAGGCCCACAGGGGTCAAATTCTTTCTTGCTCCTTCCCTCCATCTCTCCCACCTATCTCTCCCTCTGGCCTCCATGCTCTTCCTGACTAATACTACGGATCAAACACCTCTGCTCTGCTACAAGTTCCCCACCATGAAGTCATGCTTCACTACAGATCCAGAAACAGTGGAGCCCAGTAACTGAGGGCCTAAAATCAAGATAATAAAGAAATCCTGTCATAGCAAGGAAAACTGACTTTTGCCCATACAGGCACACACTAACCTTTCACTACTGCATTCCCTCCTTCTGAACTACTGATAACTCTCAGTCTGAATAAATCCTATTTCTCTAAGACCCAGGGGTCAAGTTTCACTTAAAGGTGAAGTCAGCTTTAGGCTGACAAGCACGAATCCCTACAGCATCCCAATCTGTGAAGCAGGACTGGTACAGAGAGCCAGCTCCACATGAGGCACTAGGAGAACTGGCTTCTGTAACATCAAAACTCCAGAAATCATGCAAGTTATAGTGCCTGAATCCTGCGCTTTCTAGCCGGGTGCTGAGAGGTGAACTGACTAGTAGAGTCATCATGCAGGCATAGATGAAAACACTTACATTTCAGTCAGAGGAACCGGAGAAAGTGAGGAGACAGTTCATTGCTTAGTATTGGATGCTTTATTTTTCATTTTACAGTATCTGCTTCCCCCATATTGATCATCAAGGCCTTATGGTGACACAATGAAAACTTACCGGCGAGTTACGTATGATGAAAAACAATGGCTAATTTACAAACATGTCTCTATAGAATCAAATGGTGAGGCAATGAAAACTTATCACATGGATTAGGTAAAATGAAAAACAATTGATAATTTACAAACATGTCTTTATAGAATAAAAAAACATTTTATAAAATACATATTCTAGTACATATGAATTTTAGATGTTAAAAGGCATGTTACAAGACAAAGACAAACAAAACATTTAACACTGTTGAGCCTAGCAGAACAACGCTGACGGTGAGCTGGAACTAGCTTCCAAAGCCGAGTGTGACTGGAGGGAAGATTACTGGCTGAACCTTCACTTAAATAATGTATTAGTAAGATTCGTTTTTCTAAAAATTGCTACCAAGCGAACAATTTATTTGCCTTGGTAGCTTCTCAAACTTTATAGCTATGGTTGTTAACAACTTGATTGAAAGAGCTGAGAATTAGTGGAAGGGAAAAAAGGAAACTAGCACGTGGCCTTACTGAAGTGACCAGCATTGGCCATCGCACGCACTCAGGAGGAATACGCTTATAAAAGGGCCGGGTAGAATCTCAAGGCCAAACGTAATTCCAAGCATTCGCACTTAGGGAACTTAAAAAAAAAAAAATGTCCTCAATTAGTGTTAAAATTTCAAAACAGCATAATAGAGATCTTCACACATCCATTGTCGGTATCATTAAGACTAATCATACTGCTATTTCCACTTTAAATATAATCTGTATGTGATTTAGGGGTATCTCTGCAGACCGGATCATAGAGGCCACTGGATGTAATGGCAAGCATTGGGGCTCACATCTGTATCTCAAGAAAGCTGAGGCAGGAATCCTAAGAGTTAAAGGCCAGGGCAGGAAAGTTTGAAGCCAGTCTAGGGTACACAGCAAGACCTTGTCTTGAATGAAATGAAAAAGAAAAAAAAAAAGAAACAAACAAACAAACAAAAAACCAAAAAGGCTCCTGAGCATAGTGGCACATAGGTTTAACACCAGCGCACGAGCGGGAGGTAAAGGCAGGAAGAGTTCTGTGAGTTTAAGGCTAGCCTGGTCTACAGAGATTTTCAGACTAGCTAGGGCTATACTATAAGACCCTGACTTAAAAAAAAAAAGTAGGTAATGGGATTGGGCAGTAATTAAAACAGTGATTTTAAAGGTGCCTAATGTCACAAATTATGTATTTTGCCTCCATGAACTACTGGAAGGGACCAGGAAGTGAGCAAAAGACCCTGATTGTCTCTGCACTTGTTCACTGGCTCACTCACAACATGCTGGAAGCTGTGATGGCCTGTTTCTTCTGAGGACACTTGTGAAGAGTGAGACCTCTAAGCCTACAGAACTGAGATCATGGAGATAAACAGAGTCATCTGTAGTAACTTAATCACAAGCATGAGTGCCTTGTCAGGTCCCCTCTTTGATACAATCTGGGCCTAAAACAAAATTTAAGTGCTCTGTATATTCTAATTTTTTATTATACCCACAAGAAGGGTTGCTGAGACAATAACTTAAAATTCATCTTGCATCTCAGATTGCCCTTCCTGTTAGTCTATAGTATTGTCTAGAGAACAGCAAGGAGCCTCCAGAGCACTTCACAGAAGAGAGGAACTAAGTTCACTGACCGGGAGATTTTGTTCTAACAGATCCTTACAGATTTTCAAGTGCTTTTTTTCTATATTGGATAAGAATTATTCTCAAGGCAAATATCATATGACAGCAAAGTTCTAATTCATTAAGACAACATGTTTTGACATCACCAACTCAAACGCTATTTCAAACAGTGCCACTATTGTATGCAACCTGGAATGATCAAATTAAACTCCTGAGACCAAATGATCGCCATCGTCAGCCTGTTTTGACCCACCAGCTCCGCACAATGACACAGAGACTTTTATTATTTATGAACACCTAGCCCTTATAGCTTAGACTTGTTCTCAACTAGCTCCTATAACTTAATTAAGCCACTTATTTTGGTCCACGTTTGTCACGTAGTCCATTATCTCTCATTCAGTCCCTGAAGGTCAGACTTCCTTTGTGTCTGGGTGGCAAATTCTCTGCACAAAACCTTCCCATAGTTCCTACCTCTGCCTTAATGTCCTGCTTTTCCGCTCCTGACCTATAGGCCATCAGTGCTTTATGAAACCAATCAGAAAGTAAGGGAGATGTTTACAAACTCTGATGAAGGCTGAGCAATTAGAATAATAATACAAAAGTCTCAACAGCACTCAGCACTCCGCTGAAATCAACAGCAGAACACAAAGAACTTTACAGGGTAACGAGATTATCCTAGAACATCATGGAAGACTGTGGAATATGAGCTAAATACAGAAAGCTGCTCTCCAGAACTGCTCTTTTTGAACATTAATAACTGAACATTATTTTTGGAGGGAGGAAGTGTATAAAGATAGAATAGAATAGTCTACACACAGGGGAAACCTTCTAATTAAGATACTTTAAAAGCTATTGTAGATGTTTTATTTAATTCTAGAAATGTGCTCAGCTATCATAAAGTATTTCTCTTCATCACAAAATAGTAAGGATTTACACAATCCAAGGAGAAAAAAAAAAATCTAAAAATTTTTTTTGACCTGGGCACTACTTCTTCTAAAAAGGGTCTCCAAAATCTTGAGTAGACTTATCGTACTCAGTAATGAAATGTTTGAGTTCTTCAACACAGCGCTCACCAATCTCATGTAAGTTCTGCCTCAATGCAAACTGGATCGACTTTTCTAATGAGGGATCTTTTTCAATCAGCATCTTCACCACCATCCCGAAAGTCTCACAGTCTTGTCGGTAAACCTAGGATGGGAAACACATTTTGGTTAGATGAGTGAGATTAATGAATCAAACACACGGCTGGCTGATGCTCCTGAAATCTGTAAGGAAGACACAGTAACACGGCTGAACGTCCCCAATGCCAGCACAGCCACTGATGAAACCAGCCTTGGAGATCAGCTCACAACTGACTAAGCATAGACAGACTCCATACAGGGCTTTACACTTGGGTTAGGTAAAGAAGGCAGAGACGAAAGAAAGGTGAACAAATCCCCACTCATTTGTTAAGAGAGGAAAGGCTGGTCAGATGTGCTGGCCACACATTTAATCCCAGTAGAGGCAGAAGGATCTCTGAGTTGAAGGCTAGTTTGGTCTACATAGCAAATTCGATGTCAGCCAGAACTACTACATAGTAAGACACTGTCTCAAAAAAAGAAGGGGGGGAGGGGCAGAGGAAGAAAAAAGTTTCTGGACTTTAGGATCTTTGAATCACAGCCAATCAACAAATTCAAAATTGTTTGGGTACAACAAAAAGCTGTCAGAATGTTGCGCATCTATCCAGGGAAGCACTTTGCTTGTAAATATTTAACCAAGGCCACCAAACAGGGTTAAGATCAAAACAAAAGATCGTGCACACAAAGATGTATGCACTACATCCATACATGTTGCGTGGTGTTTGTTTGTTTGTTTGTTTGTTTGAGACAGGGTTTCTCTGTGTAGTCCTGGCTGTCCTGGAACTCACTCTGTAGACCAGGCTGGCCTCAAACTCAGAAATCCGCCTGCCTCTGCCTCCCAAGTGCTGGGATTAAAGGTGTGCGCCACCCCCGCCCGGGCTGTGCTGCATGTTCTTTAATGAATACTCTTTTATTTCAAAGTATGTAAAGTTTATCCGTGGCAATTGGATATTTACTGCCCACTAAATGTATAGTTCCTCTACACTAAACGTGTGTGTATGTCTACACACACTGCGTATGGATGGATTTGTACACATGGATATATACATGTATGTACACACACTGCATGCAGATGAATCCGTACACACAGAGTAAGGTGGTCAGAGGACAGTTCTGTGGAACTGTTTCTCTTCTTCTGCCTTACATGGGTTCACAGAACTGAATTTCGGACGTCAATGTGTGCTCTATGCTTTGACTGCTTAAAAACAGCTATTTACGGGCTCAATGGAATTAGGTCGCTACATTTTACTACATTCGTTATCATGCTACTGAAATTAACTCACAAGGGAGGTGTGGTAGTGTGGGCTCACAAGGTCTGACAGCGTGCTATAAAACCATGCCATCAGTTTTAGGCCAACTTGAGCTATAGTATAGGTTCAAAGCCTGCCTGAGACCCAGACCCATAGCAAACAGGAAGGGAGGGAGGGAGGGAGGGAGGGAGGGAGGGAGGGAGGGA